GCCTCTGTCTTGATGTGGAGGAGGCTGAGTGGACTGAGAGTGGGGTCCCTGGGCTGCCAGCCACTTTGTTTCCCTGTTGTTTCAGTCCTTAGAGCTTCCAGAGGCTCACTTAGGTCATCTGGCCTCCATTTCTAAAGGCAGAAGTGGAAACCAACACAATTTTTTTTTTCCCGAAGTACTGGGCTTTGAACTCAGGGCCTTCACCTTGAGCCACTCCATAGTCCTTTGTGAAGGGTTTTTTCAAGATAGGGTCTCGAGAACTATTTGCCAGGGATGGCTTCGAACTGCAGTCCTCCTGATCTCTGCCTCCTGAGAGGCGAGGATTGAAGGTGTGGCACCAGCAAACCCACACAATTAAACAAAGATTTCCTGCAACAGAGCTGAGACTGAGTCCTCTGCAGAAGGACTGAGGTGTCGCCCCAGGGCAGCCAATTGGCCTCTCCTACCTCAGATTCCTCATTTGTAAGGAAAGGTTTTTATCTTATAGGGTTGTCAGGAGGCTCTCCAGAGGTGCTGGATTAAGGCAGAACTATGAAAAGTTAAAAAGCTGCATGGGCCTGGGCACCGGTGGCTCAGGACTGTAATCTTAGCTACTTGAGAGGCTGAGATCAGGAGGATTGCAGTTTGAGGCCAGCCGAGCCTGGAGAAATGGTTTTGAAGATCTCATCTCCAAAATAACCAGAGCAAAATGGACTGAAGATGTGGCTCAAGTGGTAGAGCGCCTGCTTTGCAAGCATAAGCCCTGAGTTCAAATTCCAGTCCCACCAAGGAAAAAAAGGGAGGGAGGGGCTACACAAAATGGAAGCTGTGTTATAATCACAAAGTGAGGAAGGGAAGGGCAGAGCTGTTGAGGACAGGAAGGAAGCAGCGGCCTTCTCCAAGATTCTACTTCGGGTTATGCCTTAGGGGAAACTAAGCTTTGGGGTGAGAGAGAGAGAGCATTTATCCATGCCCTGCTTTAGGTCACGGTTGTGATTTGCTTTCTATAGTTTTCTTGGGGTCTGGAGATGGAGCTCACGGGTAGAGCGCTCACCTGGCATGTGCAAGTCCTGGGTTCCAGCCTCAGCCCAAACATACGTGTATCTCATTTACTGGGAGCGACTATTATCTTGCTCATTTCACAGAGGCAAGGAGACCATTAGGCAACCTGCCCATGACCCTACAGCTGGAATCAAAACCCAGGTCACCTGGGAGAAGCCGATCCCCTCCCCTGACTGGCTCATCTGGGAGCCCAGGGGGCTGCGGAGGCAGCTGGCAGCTGTGGATGCCTTCCTGACACCTGGGCTGGGCCTTCCACTCTGGTCAGAAGACCGGGACTCTACTTCCAGCTCAACTGCTTATTAGCTGTGTGACTTGGGCCTGGACATGCACTCTGGGAGCCTCAAGTGTCCTCGGCTGCAGCCCAGTGATGATGACACTGCCCCACCTTCCTGAATGGTGATACGGGAAGTCCCTGAGATCAGGGACCTTGCAAGTGCTTAGAAACAGAAAGGAAGAGATGCGGAGGTTTCTTCGGAGAAGCTAGTCCTCACCGCCTCAAAACGCCTACTGTTGGAAGTCAGACCTGGATCCTGGGGTGTCTTCCACACCGATTCATGTACAGGAAAAACTGTACCCACTTAAGTATCCCCTAGACAAACATAGGAGAGTGTTGGCTTAAGGTTCACTCCTATCCCAGAATTTCAGGCTGGTCCTTTCTCTTGTTAAGTCATAAAACAAACAGGCTTTCAGGGACTCGGGCGGGATTTAACTAGCCTTCAGCCCTGGTGATAAGTGGCTCACACGCCACAAGCTCATGTGGGAATAATTTGTACCCGAGAGCGGTTTATAATTTGTATTTTTGGAGCCACAGTCAAGGAGTTATCTTTGCAGGGACTACAACTGGTCTCTTCCAGGCTCTTACTCCCTCCTGTCCAGGATGGAGATAACTGAGCAACAGAATGAATGATCCCAGGCAGGACCTCTCTAGTTTTTCTGTCCTGTGTACTGCTCCCCCACCCCCCCTACTCCCTCACCTAGAGCCCTGCCAAGTGCAAAAGTACAGGGAATGTTTCTAAAATGAACGGGATTAGAGGAAAGAGAATGCTGCGTTTCCTGGAGGTCAAGGCCTGGTGTGCGACTCCTCCACTGGACCGTCTTGTTTGTGTCCCTTTTGCTGTGACTTCTCCCTTCTGGAAACTCACTCGCTGTCCCCTCCTCGTGCTGCCTTCAAGTCTTAGTTTGGAGGGACTCTATTTCCAAATCTCGAATCCAGAAACAAGACTTGGGTTGAGGGTGTAGCGCAGTGGTCGAGCATTTGGCTAGCATGCAGGAAGCCCTGGGTTCCATCTCAACACAAATTAGGGAGGTGATGAGGGAGGAGAGCCTGACAAGATATCTGAAACCAGGCATCTGTATTCCAGCAGGGCTTGTGCCCTTCTGTTTGGACTTGGGTTAAACTACTCTGATTCTGCATTCTGGCCAGTTTACAGCTTTGCTTAACAGTGATTCCTAAAGACATCTGGGGGGGGGGGGTCCTTAAAGTCATTAGCAGACTCTAATTAAACCTCATGGCTTATTGGTCTTATTCTGAAGTTGGCTCATTTTTCCATTTCCCGGTTCAAATGTCCTTGGGTCCACCGCACTGTCCATCCACCACCACAGTGGGCAAGTAGACCATGGGAAGGACACCGCCCATGGAAAAGAGAGTGCCCTAAGGAGCAGGTGGGACAGGAGGACCCTTGAGCAAAGTGTCCTTCAGCAAAGCCGGGTCTCTGGGTCTTATCTGCAGAGTGGAGGGAATGCTGGGATGACAGACTCAAAGTCTTAGTGATCTTTCACGACGCCAGCGCTGGGGTCATGGGGTGTGAGGTTTCCCTCCTGCAGTTGTGGATAAATCGTCCCTGCTCGTCTATCTAAGGCAAACACCCTCACCGGGCAAAGGATCCCAGTCCCTCACCCCAGCCATCCTCCTCTCCCCTACATCATGTTTTCCCCTCTTTGCTGAGTCATTCTTGTCCGTACATAAATAAATACACTGCAATTTAACCCGTTAAAAAATAGAAGTCTCTCAAGCTGGGTGTGGTGGTGTATACTATAATCCCAGCACTCAGGAGGCTGCCGCAGGAGAATTGCAAATTCAAGGCCAGCCTGGCTATATTGAGAGACCCTGACTCAAAAACAAAACAAAACAGCCGGGCACCAGTGGCTCACACCACTTCCTACTCAGGAAGGAGAGATCAGGAGGATCACGGTTTAAAGCCAGCCTGGCAAATAGTTCTGTGAGACCCTATCTTGAAAAAAACCCTTCACAAAAAAGGGCTGATGGAGTGGCTCAAGATGTAGGAAATTCAAACCCCAGTAGAGGAAAAAAAAAACAAAAACAGACAACACAGTACTTCCTCCCTAGCTTCCACCGTATTTTCCTTCTCCCCTTCACAGGAAAACTGAAATAATTAGCCATTGATACTTTAATGTCGTTCTTCTTGCCAGGTGCTGGTGACTCACTTCTGTAATCCTAGCTACTTGGGAGGCTGAGATCAGGAGGATCTCGATTTGAGGCCAGCCAGGGTAAATAGTTCTCCAATCCAAGTACTAACCAGGCCTGACCCTGCTTAGCTTCTGAAATTAGACCAGATCTCGTGTGTTCAGGGTGGTAGGCCACAGACAGGGGGTAAATAGTTCTGGAGACCCCCATCTCCAAAATAGCCAGAGCAAAATGGACTGGAGGTATGGCTCAAGCAGTAGAGCACCTGCTTTGCAGCAGTGAAGCCCTGAGCTCAAACCCCAGTCCCAAATACATAAATAAACAATCCCATTCTTCTTGAGCCCATTTCAATCCCTGCATCCAGCCTGCTCTCTATCAAGGCTGCTGGTGCTGTCCCCTGTGGTTATACCCAAGGATCCTCACCTCATCTTCACCTCCTTTGACTGCTCAGCAAGGTCAGTGGGTGACATCTTCCTTGAAGCATTTCTTTTCTTGGCTTCCAAGACACTACATTCTCTTGGATACTCCCTTGGGGTACCCTTTGCTGGGTTCTCCTCATTTCTGTCACCTTTAAATGTTGGAGGACCCCACAGCTCAGTTCTTGGATCTCCTCCCTACTTTTTATTTTTTGTGGTGCTGGCCCAGGGCCTTTTGCTCTATTGCTGAGCCATGTTCCTGGCAAGCTTCCCTATTTTCATCACTCTGTGGCTGATCATATATCATTAAATGCCACCTGGACTAGTCCAGATCTCCTCAGAGCAGAACCATAATAAACTCTTCACACACAGGTAGCATCTGAGAATGTAATTCAGAGAGCAGAAATGGGGGAAAGAGGAAGTGAAACAAAGAAGAAAGGAAAAAAAATTCAAGGTGCATTCCTGAGCTGACCCCTCAGAACACTCTAAAGATGTGAGGACCATCTGTCAAGGGAGAAAAGGGGGGCCTTCATCCATCAGTTTCCAGTTGCCCTTACAGGACAGAGTGAGCGTTTTGGTGTGCGGGCTGCATGAATGAAGAGACAAAATTACTAACCCCTAATAATTCTAGCCCATCCTCTCAGTGGTGTGCCTGGAGTGACTCTGGATTTGACCTGAGGGGATGAGTTTTACTCAACTCTGCTCTTAACTGTGGGAGTTTGGCATTATGTGATCTTTCTGAACTTTGGTGTTCTGGCCCTCAAAATGGAGATTTTACCTACCATAATACTTGTAAGAATTCAATTAAAACACACACATACACACACACACACACACACACACAAGAAAAAAAGCTAGACATGGTAGCACATGCCTGTAGTCCCAGCTACTCAGGAGGCTGGGATGGGAGAATTGCTCAGGAATTCAAGAGTAGCCTAGGCAAAAGAGCAAGACCCTGTCCAAAAAAGAAGGAAGAGGAGGAGGAGGACAAGATGAAGGAAGGAAGGAAGAAGGAAAGAAGGAAGGGAGGGAGGGAGGAGTTTGGTGGTATGCCGTAGACAAGTAATAAGAAGTGGAGCAGCTGTTCTTAGGTTCACTGACCTTTTCTATCAGGAATATGCAGTGACCGAGGCCGTTAGAAAGGCATTAGGGCTGACCATGGATCAGTGAGACACGGAGACACACAATGGAGGTGCTGAACGCCACGTTGGTCTTGGCACTGTGAAGAACTAAAGGATCTTGACAAGGGACACACGGAACATTGAGTCCTGTGACAAGCGAAGGCCAGAAGGCTGAAGGGAGGGAACAGCCTGCAGCTCTCAGGTGCCTGCTCTCTCCTTGTCCTGCTGTGGCCAGTGGCTTTGTTTTTTGTTGTCATTGTTGTTTTGTGTGTTTGTTTTGTTTTTTGTGTGCTTTAGACATCTGTGTAGCCATGTCCCTAGAAGGCACTGGGGGACAGGAACAAGGATGTAGTCATCCTGACCCTGAGAGCTTGCACAAGCCTGGCACAGAGGCTCCATGCGTGTTTACTGACGTCCCTGCAACCCAGAGCAAGTGCTATGACAACATGCATGACAATGAGCTCGGCCTGAGGTGGGTGTCCATGAGAAGGGGCAGGGTCAAGCCTAGGAAATCTGGATGAAGAGGCACTGATTCCTGCAGAAGACGTGCAACCCAGTCTCAGAGGGAAAACACAGGTCTAAGTCCCACGTCTGCCCCCAGCGCTGGGTCCTGGGGCTGTGTTTTTGTCACGTGTGGCGTTTGTGTCAGAGCTGGGGCAGAGATTATGGGCAGTAGCACATGTGGATGCATCCTGAGCGCTGAAAAGGTTTGAACCCAAGCTGTACCACACTACCTGGTTGAGACTGGCTAGTCTGCCCTCTCGGAGGCTCACTTTTGCCTCATAAGTGGGGTAACCAGGTGGTCGTGGTAGTGCACACCTATAATCTCATCACTCCAGAGGCAGAGGCAGGAGCATCAGAGTTTGAGGCCAACCTGTACTGCATAGCAAGACCCTATCTCTAAAGAACTAAATAAATAGATAAAATTAGAGGGAGCCGGGGGAAGTAGCTCAGCGGTAGAGCGCTTAACTAGTAAGCATGAGGACCTGGGTTCGATCCCCAGCACTACAAAATAAATAAATTAGAAAATAAAAAATATTATTTGGAGGGGACTAGCTTTAAAGGCTTAAATTAAGTCACCTCACAAACACATAAATAGATTTTGTCTGTCTTCTTCTATAAAGAGGGAAAACAAAGATGTCAGGAGAGCTGGTGGTCAGTCTGCAGTTCCTGACACCAGAAGGGAGCTGAACTACATGCCCTCCACCCACAGATGAGGGTCTCACCTTGGGGGGTGGTATGTGTATGGGGGTGTCTCTGTTCTCTGGCACTGGGAGTTAAAAGAAAGTTCCCCTCTCTCCTCAACTAGGCACTAAAACACAAAATTGTCCATCTGAATATTAAATTGTAACTCAGCCATAGAATGGAGACTAGAACAGAGTAAGAAAGACATGTTTTTAAAGACTTTGGTGAGCCTGGCACCGGTGGCTCACACAAATAGTTCTCGAGACTCTATCTTGAAAAAACTCATCACAAAAAAGGGCTGGTGGAGTAGCTCAAGGTGCTTAAAAAGTATAGGCCCTGAGTTCAAGCTGCAGTACTGCAAAAAAAAAAAAAAAGAATTTGGTGAGAGCTTACGTAGAATTCAGTGGTATAGCACTTGCATAGTCTGTGGGAAGCCTTGGGTTCAATTCCCAGCACTACCAAAAAAAAAAAAAACAAAAAAAAACAAAAACCCAAAACCAATTTGATGGCTCTAAATGACTCCACTGTCTGTTGCACCCACTGTGGGGCTTGTGACAAGCGCAAGCTCCCAGCCCCCAGCAAGGTCTGTGGAGAAGTTTCCAGGTGATTCCTGAGTATTAAGCATTCTTAGGGTAATGTCAAAAGCTGGGACGAGATGGAGCGAGGAAGGTTCAAACCACTGCAGGATCGAGGCGTCGAGAAGGGAATCTTGGCCAGCAGACTTGGAATATTAAGATCCAAGAGGTGGGTAATGCCATCCTGTGGAGATGGGTATGTCTGGCTGCACAGCCTGATGTCCTTGAAAATTTCAAGTCATCTGCCTGCTCCTTGCAATGAACCTGTGCTCCCCAGAAATGTTCCAGTTACTGTTTGGTTTTTGTTTGACCCAAGAATCAGGTTAAAGAAAAAAGAAAGATCAAAGGGAACCCCACCAGTTGGGCACCAGCGACTCATGTCTATAATCCTAGCTACTTAGGAGGCAGAGATCAGGAGGATCTCAGTTTGAAGCCAGCCCAGGCAAATAGTTCTGTGAGACCCTATCTCGAAAAACCCTTCACAAAAATAGGCCTGGTGGAGTGGCCCAAGGTGAAGGCCCTGAGTTCAAGTCCCAGTACCACAAAAAAAAAAAAGGGAAACCCCATTAACCCTAAAGACCATTATTATTGTGTGAAGGTGTTGAGGAGTAGTAAGCTGTAGAGCTGTCAGGTTCTAAATTTGATTTTTTTTTTAGGGCTGGGTATTGTACCTAGGGCCTTCTGTATGCTAGATAAGTGCTCTACACAAATTACATTACATTCCCAGTGGTTTTTTGGTTTGGTTTGTTTCTTTTTGGTGGAACTAGGGTTGGAACTCAGGGCTTCATGCTTGTAAAGCAGGCACTCTACTGTTTGAGCTACACTTATGGTCATTTTGGAGATGGAGTCTTGAGAATTATTTACCCAAGCTGACCTAAGAACCAAGTTCCTCCCAATCTCAGCCTTACAAGTAGCTAGGATTGCAGATGTGAGCCACTGATGCCTGGCCCCAGTGGGGTTTTTGTTGTTGTTTTGACTGCACTGGAATTTGAACTCAGGGCCTTGCCCTTGCTAGGCTGGTGCTCTACCACTTGAGCCACTCCACCAGCCCTTTTGTGTCAGGTATTTTCGAGATAGGGTCTGGAGAACTGTTTCCCTGGGCTAGCCTGGAACCTCAATCCTCCTGATTGCTGACTTCGAAGTAGCTGAGATTACAAGAGTGAGCCACCAGCACCTGGGTTTTTTGTTTTTTTCCCTTGAGACAGAATCTCCTTGACCTCGAACTCACAAACCTCCTGCTTCAGCCTCCTGAGTGCTGGAATTACAGACCTGTACCACCACACCTGGTGGCTATTTATTTATTGGTCATACTGGGGTTTGAACTCAGGGCCTGGCCCTTGCTAGGTCAGCACTCTCACCACCTGGGATCCCAGCCCCTTGACTTTCAATTGCTGCTAACGAGACTGTGGCCTTTGTGACAAAGCACGAAGGCTGGAGAAAGCTGGGTAGAGGAGGGGAGGAAGAAGCACAGGCTTCCCCTCCCCTTTCCCCAAGGCTGCCCCTGACTCCGAGGCAACCTTCTATCCCTCACTGGACCAGGGAGGGAGGAAGTCTGCAGTACCACTTCCCTGTACTTTCAAGCCCTCCTGTCCTGTCCCTGTCGTTGGTCTCCTTCCCCTCCCCTTTTTCTTGGGTGGCAAACCTAAGCCACTGGTTGGAAGCAGCAGAACAGTCTCACCCCCTGAATGTCACCATGTGAATGACAAATGCTGTGACAGCTCCTTCCATTCAGGCCTCACACTTCCCGGAATAACTGGGTGGTCTCTTCTGCCTGCCCTTCCTTCCACTTCACACTCCCCCCAGGACCCAGGACTTCCTGGGAGCCAGGCCTGGGCTTCCAATACAATGTCCAGATAGGACCGGCCTCCCAACCCTCTGGCAGGGCCAGACCATAAAATAAAACTGCATGGGCCTGGCACCCCTGGACAGAATCCTTTATCTGGGTTGAAAACAGCCTGAAAAGATGAAAGGGGCTCTGCTCTGACCTCCTCACCCCTTGTTATCTGTGCCCACTCCCCTCAGCCTCCTCGAGGCTCATGGCAGTGTTTTCCCATGGTCACCGGGGTTAACTGTGTCCCAGCAGCCCAGAAGGAGGGAGTGTGAGCAGTGTACCTGCCCCAGGGCCCATGGCTTCCATGTGGCTCAGGCTGAAATGGATAATGAGGTCAAAAACAAACGCCATCTCTTTCTCAAAGGACTCTCTAAAGAGAGGCTATTAGATATAGTTCATTAGTTGGGGGTGGAGGACAGGGAGCTACTCTTTAAGTTGTTGCCTGAAGAGAAATGAAGGCATTTTGCCAAGTTTAGATTCTTCCACAAGTCAGCAGCGGGTTGTGTTTAGACTCCAGTTATGGTAGATGTGTGTTTCATTCAGGTTCAGGCAACGTGTGGCATCCTGAGCTCAAAGGAAAGACTTGCAGGAGAAAGTGTATAAGTATGCAAGTGGGAAAGTTAAAAAAAAAAAAGCTGGGCACTGGTGGCTCACTCCTGTAATCCTAGCTACTCAGGAGGCAGAGATCTGGAGAATCAAAGTTCAAAGCCAGCCCAGGCAAATGGTTTGAGAGACCCTATCTCGAAAAACCCTTTACAAAAATATGGCTGGTGGAGTAGTTCAAGGTAAAGGCCCTGCGTTCAAGCCCCGGTACTGCAAAAAAAAAGGGGGGTGTGGGGGTGGGAATAACAATAATACCTAAAACTCAGATTTGGAAAATGGTGAACTAGAGTTTATGTAGAAAAAGTTAACGTGCAAAATTCAGGCTCTAAGGTCCCCACTTCTAGATTTTTCAGAGTGCATTGGGGGTTGAACCCAGGGCCTATGCATGTCAAACACATGCTCTCGTACTGAGCTACATCCTGTCTTACCCCGAAATTTTAAAGTAATTCAAAAAGCAGAATGTCTAGTTTAAAACCCTCTCTCTTATAATTCATCTTCATCTTTTTCTTTCCTTTTTTTTAATGGCAGTACTGGAGTTTGAACTCAGGGCCCCAAGCTTGCTAGGCAGGCACTCTTACCCCTTAAGCCACTCCTTCAACCCTATGGTTCATCTTAAAACCTGAGAGTGTGGCTAAAGTGGTAGAACACCTGCCATGATGGTGCATGCCTGTGATTCCAGCTTCGCAGGAGGCATAAACAGGAGGATCAGAGTCTAAAGCCAGCCCAGAGACCCTATCTGAAAATAAAGTGAAGTCAAAAGGGCTAGGGGGTAGCTCAAGTGATAGGGTACTTGCGGGAGGTTCTGAGTTCCTTGCTCACCAAGGCTACCTATGATAAGGTGATGCTAGCCCAGTTCCCAGGTAGACTATACATTCCTTTTCCTCCCATTTTCCTTTATACCACTGTACAATTAAGTTCAAATTCTCTAGACAACATTTAAAACTCTCCAAAATCTGAAACCAATTAACTTTCAATCCTAAAACCTACTATACTCTCCTCCCTTCTACATACATTCTTTTTTTTTGGCGGTACTAGAGTTTGAACTCAGGGCCTTGCACTTGCCAAGCAGGTGCTCTACCACTTGAGCCATGCCCCCAGCCCTACACACATCTTTTAAAAAACACTGTCCAATGAAAACCCCAACTTTGCCAGGTAAGATAGCCAATGCTGGGAATCCCAGCTACTCGGTAGGCAGAGATTCGGAGGTCTGAGGTTTAAGGCCAGCCTGAGCACAAACCAAGTGAGACCAAATCTCAACATAAGTTAGACATGGCACTTCACCACTGTAATCCTAGCTACTCAGGAGGCCAAATAGGAGGATTACGGTCTAAGGTCTCTGGGGCAAAACTGAGAGACCCAGAAAGAACTAAAGCAAAAAGGATTGGAAGTGTGGCTTAAGTGAAAGAGCGCCTGCCTCAAAAGCCTGAGGCCCGAAGTTCAAACCCTAGTACCACCAAAATAAATAACTAAGCCAATAAATAAATCAAACTCCCAACTTTACTCACATGGCCTCTAGGCAAGTCCCTTGGGCAGTGGTAGGGTCATAATAAACTCTTCTAAGAATGTTTCTGTTCTTCTTAGGGTTTAATTTTCTTATGGAAAAAAAATAATGACAAATGAACCCTCAGGCGTGGCTCAGTTTGTGCCAGAGATGAGATGAGAAACCCAATGTCTGTCCTCCTGCTCCCCATGGGACCAGAGGGGACTCAGACACATGCCTGAGGAAAAAGTGCCCCCCTCAAACACAAAAACATCCTCAAGGAAAAGGGAAAAGAACAAAGTGGGAGGGCAGAGGCCAGTGACGGCAGGAGGACAGGTGTGTCCGAAACCTGCTCTGGATCTCGACTTCCTGTGCCTCAGTTTCCTCACCTGTAATGTGCTGTCACAGTTGCTACCTTGCATGGTTGTGGTGCTTCCTTTTTTTTTAACCCTGTGAGTAAAATATTTATTTATTTTGTAGTGCTAAAGATGGAATCCAGGGTCTTGCCATGCTGAACAAGCGCTCGACCCCTGAGCTACATCCCCTCCCTGCAAAAGCTCTCTCCTTAAGAAGACAAGCTGGCTCCATGGAGAACATTCTGGACTCTGAGTGCTGATTAAGTTGTGCTCACTTGGGCCTTTGTACCTTTGCTCCAGCTCCTCTCTGAGGTTGGAATGTGCTCTCCCCTCCTCCCCTTATCTCAAGACTCAGCTCAAAGGACACCTTCCCTCTCAGTGAGGCCTTCCTGCACAGTCCCTCTGCCCAGCCTAGCAGAACCACTTCCTCCCTCCACTGAGGGCCATGGCTCTGGGGTAGCATGGCTCTATCTATCTATCTATCTATCTATCTATCTATCTATCTATCTATCTTTCTTTCTTTTGAGACAGTCTCGCTATGTAGCCCAGACTGGCCTCAAACTCTCCATCTTCCAGCCTCAGTCCCCTAAGGCATGTGCCATCAAGCTTGGCTTACAGTGGCTTGCTTCTAAGTTGTTCTCAACTTTTCAAATCTTAGTTTTGTGATTCCTGTGTCCAACACAGTTCCAGACTTACCTGCCCATGTGGGTGCTCAGTGAGGGTATGTGGGAGAAATGAACGATGAGATATCTCATCCCTGAGGGTTCCTGCATGGCCTCCACCAAATCCCATCCACCTAGTCTCTTGACCCTCAGCCCTGGGGTGGCGCCTGCTTGAGAAAATCATCCCCCACCCCAACCCCATTAAGTTTCAGGGAATTATTGCATTTTCAGCTACTGTCTCCACTCACCTTATGTCACCTGATGGCCATCTGAGGTGACACAAGATGCATGGCTCAGGGTAGCCAAAAGCTATTTTAGTGTGAAAGCACAGAACTGAGTTAGTTACAGGAGAGTGTTCAAACTGCTCCTGAAGAAATATCTGAAGCATAGTTCATCAACACTGACAACCTGGTGACTCCTGTCCTCTTTAGCTACAGGACACTCAGAGTTGCAAAATTCTAACTGACCCCTTTAAATGACACAAATGTTCTCCCTACTTTGAGCCTCAGCCCCCAGGATTCATTGTGAGATGGGGGGTCAAAGTCAAGGGTACAGGCTGTGGCCTCAGAATAGGACATGGATATGAAGTCCTCAGGAACAAAGTCAAGGACCTCAGCCCCTTCCATCTGGTGGAAGTAATGGCCATAGCCAGGGCTTCTGGGCTGCGGGAGAGGTCCAGCAGGGCAGTGGGTGACGACAGAAGCTCAGCCTCCAGCCAGACTTGGGTCCTCTAGGTATTCACCAAGTACTGGCTCTGGGGATATGCAAGTATGTCGATCCAAGGTGGAGGGAGGAGGAGTCGATGTGCTAACGTAAAGCCCTCCATACCTACAAGGCTGTCGTGTGCCATACTGCACAAATGACACGGGACAGTTACATAAACTGGAGTAACAGTGGTCCAGTACTGCGGGAGGCGTGGCTCCAGGGGTAGAGCGCATGCCTAGAAAGCTGGACGCCTTTAGTTCAAACCCCAGTACTGTAAGAAAAGAAAAAAAAAAAAAAGCTGGTGAGTTCATCTAAGGGTCCTCTCCTTCCTCCCTGTCCTGGGCCCTACTGCAATGGATCCTCCACAGAGGCCTCCATGGAACCCTGGAGTGACCCTGGGAGAGTCACTCAATTATGATTTTATATTTTAAGATCTGGAGGGAAATCTTAGACATCATTAAAGCCTACCATGCCACTTTACCAACAAGAAAATGTGAGGTCCAGAGAGAAAAACTAATTTGCCCAAGATCATCAGATTTTTTTTTTTTGGTATGGGGTTTGAACTCAGGACCTTTTGCTTGCTAGGCAGGCGTTCTACAGCTTAGGCCACTCCTTCAGTCCAGATCATCAGTTCTAATCCTGCCTCTGCCACTAACACACTGAGACCTTGGACTAGTCACTGCCTCTCTCTGAGGAGCTTGGAGTATTCAGAGATCTAAATTCCCTTTCAACTCTGTCCTTTTTTATATTAAAATAATGGTTCCTTCTACTGCCCTCAAATTTCAGTGAATATTCCTTTCTCCTCTCATGTTCTCTGCACCACCACCCTCCCCCCAAAAAAGGCCAAGAAAAAAATGTTTGGGTAATTTTGAGTTCACTTAATTTAAAACTGAGTGCTGGGTTTCAGCAGGCGTAAGGACGAGAAGGGAGATGGCCAGTCACAGCGCGGACAAAGGCCGTGGCTCGGGGGGTGCGCCCCATGCCTGAAGGCTTCCAAGAGCGGGCAGCGCCGCAGGGATGCAGAAGGCCAGCGACCGCGCCTTACATGGCCATCGCGGCGGCCGCCGGAATCCCTGGGATTACGCAGCCCCAGTTCTGGAGGACTTGGAGCAAGTGCACGTCACCTGCTGTCGCCACAAGTGTGCCCGGCTTCTGCAGCCTGTCTTGTGACTGAGGAATTTGTAAATGGAAGCGCTGAGCTCACAAAGAAGAAAATGTCTCCTTGATGTCACACACTTGCTGCCAATTTATCAGCCTGAGCTAAAGGTCAGAGAGGGGGAAGCCGCTGCCCTGGGGTCCGGCCGCTGCTGCCCGAGCTGGGGCTTCCCTTGAGCGGGCTTCCCGCCAGCCGCCCGCGCCAGCCAGCCCGGGAAACGCGAGCCGCGGATGGCGTTCCCAGGGACGCACAGAAGCAGGGCACGGGCTTCCCTCCGCAACCATGGACCCACGCATCCTCCAGCCCTCCCCCCAACTCTCTTCCACAGACAGCCGGAAGAACCTGGGAAGCTGAGAAGCCTGTCCTGAGTCCTTTCTCTGGCATCACTTTGGGGGTAAACCCAAATTACATGGAGGTCCTTTGGGATCTTTAATAATTAAACGCTGTGTCCAGCTGAAGCTAGGATCCTCCTGCCTGGAGCCACAGCCTGGTGCTTCTTCTTAGCAGTGTGCTGTTTGCTGGTTACTTAACCTCTGGGCCTGCTTCCTGCTCTGGAAAATGCGGATAATAGAAATGGCTGAGTGCTGAGGCCCTCCCTGTAGTCCCTGCTACTAGGGAGGCTGAGGTGGGAGGATCTCTGGAGTCCAGGAGTTGGAGGCCAGCCTGGGTAACATTGCCAGACCCTGTCTCATAAATAAGGATAGGCGGTTGGTAGCCTGTAATCCTAGCTAGTTGGGAGGCTGATATCAGAAGGATTACGGTTTGAGACCAACCCAAGGAAATAGTTCCTGAGACCCGATCTCCAAAATATCCAGAGCAAAATGGACTGGAGGAGTGGCTTAAGTGGTAGAGTGCTTGCTTTGCAAGTCTGAAAATTTGAGTTGAAACTCAAGTCCCAATCCTCCCAACCCCCACCCCGCCAAAAAAAAGCACAACTCATAGTGTGGTCCTGAGGGTTTAATGTGGAGCACTGGTGCCAAGCCTAGAAGGTAAGTGCTCAATAAATGTCAGCTGGAAACAACTGACAAGCTACCAGTGGGCAAATTACTTAATTCCCGAGTCTTAATTTCCTCCTCTGTCCAAAGGGGACAGGCATTTGAGGGGACAGGCATCTGTAACCAGGTCAGGGAGGATTCAAAGCCATTAACAGCACCCAGCACTGGGAGAACAAATGGTAAGGTTACAGCAGTTGCGGGGGGAGTGGCTCAGTGGTAGAGCAATGCACCAGTCTCCGGGTTCCATCCCTAGCACCCCAAAAACAAAACAAAAAACAGGAGACTGTAGATGGGAGATGAGGGTGATTGGCTAAATAACGAGAGAGTGGTGGGTTTCTCTCTGACTGGAAGGGACCACAGACCAGGTTCAGGGACATCTCCAGAAAAGATACCTGACTTCAACCATAAAAACAGATCTGGAAAAAGTGCTACCACCTGCCCAGAGACATCACTGCCCCTGTGGCCCTCATGTCTCTCCTGCACACAAAGACCCCTAAACTCCAACAGTCAGTAATTCACTGATGGCTGACCCTGACATCCAGTCTGCTGTCAGCCACCCCTCCTCCCCCCAGCCTACCTCTCCTGGCTAGTGGCAATCCTAGATAAAGCTGGGAGAAGGGAAAGGCTTTTCTTTTAGGCTCCTCCCCCATCTGCTCACACAGTGCTCATCCCTGAGTGACCCGAACAGGTGACTCTGGCAGCAAACAGCCTCTTCCCTGGGTTTACTGGTCCTTGGTGTCTTCCCTCTTTCCAGGAGTGCTGTGGCTCAAGACTTTATCCCTCCAGGGGGCATTAATATTTTAATGACAAGATCCAGAGATTTGACATAAATATATCAACTTCAGTAGACATTTGTCAAGCTTCTACCCAACAAGGCAGGTTCTAGGCTCAGTCTATCTGCCTTCTCACAAGTATCCTGGTCTGTCCCTGGAGGCATTGGCTTATGGAGAGCCCTGTGCCCCTCTAGTCCAGTCAAGGTCAAGGACCAAGTGTTGTGAGACTTCTCTCCCATCCCCCAAACATGCTTCTCCCTTGCCATTTCCCCTGGGTACTCTCCCCAATTCCTTGTCTGTCACTTGAACCCCCTCAGGAGCTCATTCAGGGAGTCTCCTGCCTCCAGCCTTAGCTCCCTGTAAGGTAGCCCTCATGACAACTTTATAAGCCCCCCACATCATTCCTTCAACTCCCCCCCACCACCACCATTGCATCCCATGTCTTTCATAACCCTGCCCAAACTCTGTGTTTCACACAGCCCTGTCTCACCCCTGCCAGGGCTTGGGCCAGGGTCCCAGAGTGCCAGTCTGACCAGAGGGGTGTGTACCCAGGAGGGCCTGGTGCAGTGTGGCTGGACAAAAATGATTCACAGTGAGGACAGCCAAATTCCTATGTGGGAAATCAGGGCAGTCTGCAGGGTGAGGCCACGCTGTCAACAGAATGAGTAATGAGGTCAGAAGCTGGTAGGGGCCAGAATCATGTCTAGATGCAGTTCAGGGAAACAGAGCCACAAGACGCAGGCTGTGAATTGAATGGTAAAAAGGTATTGCAGACTTGCTTGTGGAGCGTCCTGGTGGGGTGGCAGGAGCAGCCTGTGACATCCTCCTTCCCTCCAGCTTCCTAAAGCCCATGTGCCAAGTGCTCTCTGGTTTTTCTGGTGTGTGAAGGCCTGTGTTCCCCTGCCACCCCTCTCATGGCCCCTGGCACTGCTGAGCGATTGTCCCACTAAATAGGGGCTGAAGCTCGTGCCCCTAGGATGGCAAATGACTTTGCATTTGGGATTCTTCATCTGTACCGTGAGGGTATGAACCACTAATAATGTTACATAATAACACCAGTGGAGAATTAGCCTTGCAAATATTTGTAAAACACTTAGACAGTGCTTGGCATATAACAAATGCTGTGTAAGTGTTAGTTAAATAAAAGTAAGGTGCCCAGCTGGTGAGTAGAGCCAGCACTCAAAGTCAGTTCTAATTTTAACACTTGAGTCCTTAGGTCCTCCACCACTAAGGTCAAGAGCGGGCTAGGATGGACTGAGCTGACTATATAGGACTTTAAAACTCATTGTCCTTTCAACTAAGAATAGAAAAACATGCTGTTGACATATTTCATATGGGCACACAGGAAATATCACTCCAATTACTACCATTACCTGTTCTTAGGAAACCACTCAGAAATCCAGAAGTACCAGTTCAAATATAGTACCTGTCCCAAATTTAATGGGCTCATTAAAACAATAAAAAGTCAACCTTAGAAAATGGCCGTAGGTGTTAAAAACGAGCAGCAAGGCTGAAGACTGCAGCTCACATTCGGAAAAATACAAAGGAATTTTCAGGAAACAACGCAAAGAAGAACTAGTATACTTATTTTTCTCAATCCTGTTGGGGGTGGTAGTGCTTGGTCAGGAGCGAGGGAACAGGATGAAAAATGGAGTCTGTGTCTTGTGGTAACTCAGTAGCAATTCAGAGTCTGCAGGAGCATGCTGGCTTTAGCAAGCTAGGAGCCAGAAATCCTTAAAACTGACCTTCTCACCCAACTACTGGATGACACTAATAGGTGTTTGAAAATGATGACCCTGATCTACCTCAAAATCCTAAACAGCTTTCTGGAACAGGAGGAAAAAAATGTTAAATGAAGATTAGTACCTTTGGTGACAAGTGCATTTCATTGTATTGTAAGTTTGGAAAACAAGCAATATTTTTGTCATCTGTAGCATGTAGTGATTTATAGGACACCTAATCACTTTCTGCCTGTCATAATATTAGAACAATATATTGCTCAATATATATGGTTTGTATCGGGGCTTAATAAACTTTCCTTTTTGCCAGGCACCAGTGGCTCATGCCTATAATCCTAGCTACTCAGGAGGCAGATATCAGGAGGATCACAGTTCAAAGCCAGCCTGAGCAAATAGTTCAAAAGTTTCTATCTTGAAAAAAACCCATCACAAAAAAGGGTTGGTGAAGTGGCTCAAGGTGCAGGCCCTGAGTTCAAACTCCAGTACAGCAAAAAAAAAAAAAAAATCTATCTATCTATCTATACATGTACAGTGCTAAACATCTCAACAGCTTCTGTTGCTTGGTTTGGTTTTCCCATCCCCTATGCTTTATGTCAGGGTAGGTCCAAACTTGACCCAGGTGGCCTTCCCACTA